GCATCAACAGATCATTGGGCAGTTTGTTTGTCGTCGTAATACTACCAAAGGCGATGCCACCGTGTGAGTACCCCAGCCCACCTCCAGTGCCAGGGCTAGGTCCGCCAAGGCCATTCTCGCCATGGACACTCCCAGTTTCCAGCATTGCAGTTGATCCACTTAACATGTTTCCTCCAGAACTCTGGATGTAAGTGGATTTATAGAAAGATTAAATAGGACTTTCATGGCAATGGCATAGTAAAGCTAATCACAATCTCACCAACTTTATTAAATAACTCAGTTTTTATACTTTTAAGGTGAAATAATAGTCAGAAAAGTAGTTTAGAACTCGACAGAGACTAGAAAGACTTTTCATTAATGCCTTCAAAAAATTGCAGAAAGCTATTGGTAGAGTACACGCTTCTGAAAATTATGATAATGCAGTAAGTGATGCAAACATATTTTGTTAAAAAAGAGAATCTCCAGAACATATAAATAGGCACATATAGTTGCATGCTAGTGACAATTGAGACACAATTATCAAATTTAAAGAAAATGCATTAATAAAGCCAAAAATATGGAAGATCCTTAGTGCTAAAAGCATAGGCAATGACAACTACCAACATTTGCATGGACTTAAAGAGAACGTATAAGATCATTCCAATTTTGAAAAGGTGGATTAATACATACCACATGAGGATTGCCTTGGAGTTTTGACTAGCAACTTTCTCAATGTCTTTATCGCACCATCCTGCTACCCCAATGAATCCGTGATAAGCTTTCGCCTTTGATATGAGAGGCATATACCAGTGAGGAATAGGCAGTTACGAAAATTCACCGACAGCAAAATTTTTAAAATGATATACAAAAGCTTAGCGGATTCATCGGATTCTCATGACGATGCGTCGAGGACTTTTGCACATAAATAGTCGCAACCTTAAGAGAAGCTTTGATTTCTTGTGAGACAAGTTCATTGATTAAAGACTTGTTCTGTCATGAGCAGTGCATAAAATGATTTTTTCCATTTTAGATAAAAATAGGTTTTGAGATTATCACTAATTCTTGAATAACAACTTGGTCACCGTAGGTCGCTTAAGGTGAATTAAAGATTGATATTTTGGTTTTCTCACAAGTAAATGAGTAGGCTTCAATTTGCAATCGAATTTCACTTACCCTTGTCCTTCAAAAGGCTATCTCCTCAAAGGTGGACTGAGGTTTCAACACCCCCCAGGTCTGATCAGCACTATTAACAGTATTAGTCACCGGAGCGTTAGTAACATAACAAGATAAGTAATCTATTATACGAACAAGGGTGCCAGTGGACTACAAGACAAATATGACATTCAAGGCACTCAGTCCTCACTCACATCACATATATACTGGGATTCCCGATTAAACAAACATGTATTTGCCGTAGCAACACACTTAGTTACTTATTTTCAGTATAAGTAAATTTCTTAACCAAGAATAAGTGAGTCTCACTGAATGAGTGAACAAAAGTTGACTTCGTAAATCCTTTAAGAATGAATTAAACAAAGGACTCTTCAAGTTAAATGAAATTCGCATTCGAGGCCAACATTTTAAAGTGTTAAAAAAATGTGAGAGAATATAAAATTATTTTGAAATGACTTAATATCGGTATGAATTAATAAACAGTAAAACAACTTTAGGCTTTACTTAATCACAATTAATCATAAGCCAAAATCTAGATATAAAAATATATCGCTTTTAAAAGGTATTAAAACCACTTAGACACGAATAGATAGAAAAGGCAGTGTCATGCATTACAAATACTAGACACCTAATATGAGTTATAAAAATATAAATTATCTTTTATATTGACGAACTTATCTTCTAATTTAGTGCCTTAAAAAGCAAGAAAATTAAATTCAAAACAAAAAAACCTACTGACGACCCTTGCTTAGTAAAGATTCCTCTTAAATAAATTATGTACAATATGCGATGCCATAAAATAAAAATAATAAATAGTAACAATTTCAAGTTATGAAATATTTTTAAAAACTCCTTTTACGTAACAACGATATCTAAAAAGTCCAACAATTTTACTTAGCTCTTGAGCATCACTTCTAGTCAATTAGTAGTAAAATTTGGTTCTGTGGATGCCATACTTCGGCTCACGTGTTTAATTGAAAGATATTAGCAGGGCTGAAAATCAGTCACAACAACTTTAAATAGAAGATAAGAATTTGATAAAATAGTAGGATAAACTAAGGAAAAAGAATAAGAAAGAAGTGGTCGGCTGAAGTTTCAAGAAAGATATACATCTCTAACAATATCTGCCAAAGTAATGCCTGTACAAGCTCATAAGATATTTATCAAGACCCATGAGTGTATCGAAGAATGCTACGGTCTGAACGATGCAATAAAACCAAGCAGAAGATCAAAGAGAAACTTCCGTAACCCTTGGATTAATCTGGCCTATTTCTGATTTTTCTATACTAAATAGAAAACATCACAACAATGATATGCCCAACTTCTCTTGATATTTCGCATCAAGAAAATAAAAGGATAGTCCTCAAACTGTGAATAAAAAACTTTTGTACATAACTGTATATGTTAATGTGCAAATAAGTGATTTATCTCATATAAATATCAAATAAAGGCTTTATCTGAAGCCATATATAACAGAAAAGAGAAAATATCTTAATCAATTGATGATCACATCGTCAGAATAAATCAATTTTTGAAGATGTGCTGGGGTCCGGCAAAACAGAAAAGCGGCTTCCAACAGAAAAAGTAAAATTGTCTTGCACATAAGTGCATAGTAGTGTAAAGTTCATAAAGCAGAACCTAAATCGAATAATATAATTATGATAAAAGAATCGCAGAAGACAACAACATTTCCTATTTGAATATGCGAGGACTATTACGAGACAAGAGTCAAGTGCCTCAAAGGAAAGAATTGAAAGAAAGGGAATGTTTGCTAAATATTTTGCGTGATAAATCTGACGTATGAGAAATGAAAATATTTGCTTAAATTTCCTAATAGATTAACTAAATTGTCGAATACCGGGGTTAGATAGCATAAAACATAAAATCTAGGGGATTTACCGAGGACAATCCCGAAACGATTTTCAAGGAGATGCAGTGATACATCTTTAAAACATCGATTGATTGTTAACTTATTAATGCATAAGTATATTTAAAGATGCATGCAC